TGTAGGGCACCCCACCTGGTAGAGAGATTGCACCACAGACATCCCACAAAACCAGGGGAAAGGGGTACTTCAACTCCTAACTAACTGTAATTCGTAGCTCCCCAGGTGCTGTCTCTGTGGTAGAGGGCCACATGTCAGCTCTGAGGCCTGGAGCTGCAATTCAGGGGAGAAGACTGGGCCAGTTGCCAAGACTCACTGTCCCACTTACGCAAACTGAAGAAATTCATGCTAACAATCCATGATTAATTGCTGGGTGGTTTCGCTCTGGGTCATGGGGTGTGCGCACGCGCGGAGTGCAGCTTATCTTAATTACCAATGTAGCTATNGTTTGAAGATACCACCAGGATCCAGTGGGCGAAAGCAGAATTGTGGGCTACAAGACAACAAGGGAAGCCAGTAGCTGAATACATCAGAGAGTTCCGGCGTCTGGCTAGCAAAGTGAGGATGTGGCCAGAGGGGTTGGTGGTGTATTACTTTAAGACCGGTCTTGATCGAACACTACGTCAGGCCTGCATCTACAGAGGGTTGCCAACCATTCCTACTGCATGGTTCCAGGCCACCATGGAATTAGCTATAGAATTCCATGAGGATAAGCAAAGATGGAAGAGAGGTAGGTGAGAACAAAGACTGCAACAGATGCATCGTATCAGAGTTGCCCCAAACCTCCCGCAACTCACAGTGGTTTCCATGGGGCAACCTTCATCCCCAAGGGCAGCTGGACTGACAATGTACATCCAGCCACCCATAACATGTTTTCAATGCAGAAGGCCGGAGCATAGACTGGCAGTCTGCCATGAGACCGATCCTACAGCGTCTATGAGAACATCAAGGGAAAAAAAGGATGGCCAGGAAGAGCATGAGACGCGGCCAGAAGAAGTCATATGGGGCGAGTCAACCAGATCCTATACCAGTTGACTCCAGCCCCTCGGGTGATATGCTCAATACCGGTGGAAGCCACTGGAGGGAGGGTTCTGACCCAATGATAACTAAGCCTATCAAACAGTTTGTGATACAGGTAGTGGTGGAAGCAGCCAGGCAACAACAATGTACAGCCCTGATCGATTCAGGGTGCACTCATTGTTTAATGAACACCAAGGTCACTGATAGTCTGGGGGTGAGCCTCAGGAAGTTGTCTAGGCCGATCCGTTTCAAACAGATGGATGGGTGGTTACTGGGGGACCAACCAGCCACACATATATATACTGGCTAGGTTACCGGAGGGATGTATATTTATAAAATTAGATCTCAGGGAAGCGTACTATAGGGTATGCTTTCGGGCTGGTGACGAATGGAAGACAGCCTTCAATTGTCCTCTGGGCAGTTACTAGTTCTGGGTTATGCCCTTCGGACTGCAAGGAGCCCCAGCTGTGTTCATGCAGCTAATTAACGAGGTGCTGCATGAGTATCTATATCAAGAGGTACTTGTCTATTTAGACAATATCCTTATATATACCAAGACCATGGAGGACCATATAACCCTTGTACGTCAAATGCTTAAAAAGCTGCTGGACGCATATTTATACATTAAATTGTCTAAATGTGAATTCCCCAGGATGCAATTGGACGCAATTCCAGCTGTGTGGACAACAGTGTGTCAGCAAGCGTTTGAGCTTCTGAAGTCCTTGTTCGCACAAGAGCCAGTATTGAAACATCCAGAGCCCACTAAGCCATTTATGGTTCAGGCAAATGCCAGTGATGTGGTGGTGACTGCAGTCCTCTTACAAAAGAACAATGAAGGAGTCCTACAGCCGTGTGCCTACACCTCGAGGAAGTTGACAGGGACAGAACGCAACTGGCCCATTAGAGAGAAGGAGGTGTTTGCGGTCCGGTGGGCCCTGTTGACGTGGTGGTATTTACTAGAAGAGGGGGGGATACCCTTCGAAGTCTGGATGGACCACAAGAATTTGGAAGCCCTCCAGACCCCACAAAGATTGTTGCCAAAACAAGTTAAATGGCCTTGAATTTTTGGCAATTCAACTTCCAATTAATATATACACCAGGGGGCAAGAACTTCTTAGCTGATGCAAACCACAGTATCATAATAAAAGGGAGGATCTAGTATAGGCTATCATCCTGACCTCACAGCCTAGGGTTTTAGGTAGCCATGGGAACAGATAGCCATGGACTTCATCATGGATTTACTGGACAGCCAAGGGAACAAGGTCATTTGGACAATAATAGACCTGTTTTCCAAGCAGGCTCATTTTGTAGCATGTACCGGCCTTCCATCTGCTAGGAAGCTGGCCAAACTGTTTATTACCCATGTCTATAGACTCTATGGCATCCCCAAAAGGATAATTTCAGACAGGGGAGTACAATTCACTGCCCGGTTCTGGCGTAGATTCGTGGCAATGGTAGGGTCTTCACAGGGACTTAGTGCAGCCTTCCACCTCACGACAAATAGTGCAGTGGAGAGGGCAAACGCGATGATGGAGTGCTACCTGAGATGCTAGAGCTGAGGTGGTGCAGTGGTTAAATGCAGCACTGCAGGC